GCGGGAGGGAGGGAGGGAGGACGGGGAGAGGCAAGGAGAGTTAGAGCGAAGGGAAGGTGTAGGGTAGAAGGAGGGCGGCGGGATAAGAGGTGAAGAGGGAGACGTAGGGTCAGGGGAGGAGGCGATGAGTGGGGAGGGAATCAAGTAGAAGGCCAGGGGATCAAGACGGTTGCGACCTTCTCTCCTGACGTTGTGAAGCTGGACAACAATTCCTGCACACCAGTCACAACCTGCAGTAAGAAATCCTCCTCCCCCCGATTACTGCCTTATTTCCTCTTGCTCCTCCTTCTCCTGCTCTTCCCTGTGTCCTTCTCCTCCCCCCTCACCTTGCCCATCGTTTCGTCGTTGCTCCACAGGCCAGCATACTCATCTCCAAGCGAAATGATGCATGCTCCTGTAGAAAGAGTGAGTGATGCACAAGCAAGCAAAGGAGAGAGAGGAGAGGAGGGAGAGGAGGGAGAGGATAGGAAGTGAAGAGAGAGGGGATAGGGAATGGGAGGAGAGGGGAAGAAGCTAGTGACGTGAGCGAGCTGACCGGTCAGAGTGGCTATGTCAACAATTTCTTGAGCTCCTGCAGAGCACACGAGCTGGTAAGAGTTGTATCGACAAACAAACAAACTTTGTTTCCTCTGTCCCTTCTCCTCCTCCCTTACCGGCTTGCTCCGCATACACCAAAGCATCTGCAAGCGTCAGCCTTCCCTCAGCATCTGTGTTGAGAACTGCAAGTGCGAAGTCAAATCCCTACCTCTTCCTCTTCATCTTCCTCCTCCCCCTACTCCTTAGCTCTACCCCCTCCACCCCCTTCTACCTTCGATGGTCTTGCCGTTGCTGGCAGTCAAAATGTCTCCGGGTCTCATGGCGTCGGACGAGATCTTGAAGAAAGTGAGCATTATGAAAGAAGGAAGAAGGGAGGATGGAGGGGAGGAGGCGGATGATGATGATGATGATGATGATGATGATGATGATGATGATGATGATGATGATGATGATGATGATGATGATGATGATGATGATGAGGAGGAGGAGGAGGAGAGCACCATGTTCTCGCACGCTGCCACGATGAAGTGAACCTCAACTCCTTCCGGCTTCATCATCCCCACAGCCTGCTCGACATTTCAGTTTCCTACTTTGCTGTCTTCGTCCCCGTCCTTCTTCTTCTCCCCTCCCTCCCGCTTCGTCTGAGCGTCCTCGCTCACCTTGGCGCATCCCAACGTTGCAGCGCTTCCTCCCATGTCGAACTTCATCAGCTCGATCATCGATCCAGCACCAGCCTGTGAGACATTGAGTGAGAAACAGGAGGAGGGAGAGCGAGGAGGCATGAAAACGATGGGAGGAGAGAGAAGGGAGAAGAGGAAAGGAGGAGCGAGGAATGGGGAGCGACAACAGAGGAGGAGGGATGCAGAGGAGGAGGATGAAGAGACCTTGAGGTTGTACCCTCCTGAGTCAAAGCACAATCCTTTGCCGACGATTGCAATCTGCATGAGCAGGTCAAGAGAGATTTACAGCATCTCATCAAAACATTCTTTCCTTTCGATCCCCAGGCTCATGACTCCTCGACAACCACCACCACTACCTCCTCCCCCTCCTCCTCTACAACGACCACTACTACTTCTTCCTCCTCCTCCTCTACAATGACCACCACTACCTCCTCTTCCTCCTCCTCCTCTACAATGACCACCACTACCTCCTCTTCCTCCTCCTCCTCCTCCTCTACAATGACCACCACTACCTCCTCCCCTCCTCCTCTACAACGACCACCACTACCTCCTCCTCCTCCTCCACCACCACCACCACCACCTCCTCCTCCTCCTCCTCCTCCTCCTCCTGGACCTCTTACCTTCTTCTTCACCTCTCCCTTGGGCTTGTAGGTCACATGAATAAATTTAGGGGGCTGGGCTGATCCCCTTGACACCGCCAGGTACGCGCCCATTCCTCTCCTCTCGCACTCGTCGCGCTCAAGGATGGTGCAGCTCATTCCATGCTCCTTGGCGATGTTCCTTGCAGTCTCAGCCAGGGTGGAAGGAGTGACGTAGTTTGAAGGAGCTCCCACCAGATCTCTAGCCATCTTCACCCCTGACGAACAAACAGTAAGGATCTTGCATCGTTCTTCCTCTTCCTCTTCCTCTTCCTCTTCCTCTTCCTGCCCGTCCCCGCATTCCTTGCTTCCGTCCTCGCTCCTCGCTCCTCGCTCATTCTCCACCCTTCTCCTCTCACCCTCGTTAATGTGGAAGGAGGACTGAACGAGCGCATCGTCGTACACATCGTTGCTCGCGATGACCTCCAGGCTCTCTAGCAGGCAACCTTTCTCCTTGTCATCTCCTGACTTGAAACGCACGTCGTGGTAAATCCCCTCCAGCACAGCCTGCGCCTACTGGTCACCTCCTCCACTCCTTCCCCACCATCGCGGTCACCTGCACCATCGCCTTCACCGCTGTGCTGTCAAACCCCTGGGGCACGACAACAGCTGCTGTCTTCGCCTTCTCGGTCTTGGCAGAGCTCGCAATCTGCTTGCCCAGAGCGAAACCTGACGCCATTGCAGCCTGGGTGACATTCCCCATCCCCACCAGCGACAGTTTCTTGAAGCTCGACGACTTTGCAAGGCGGGTCAGCACGGAGGATCCTGACTTGCCCTTGAACTCGTTTTCCTTGATGATTTCGGACAAGAGGCCGTCAATGGAGGCGTCGAGCTCGGCAGCGGCTCCAGTCAGGCTGACCAGCGCGTTCTTGTCCTCTCCCCCGACCTCAGGGAAGGGAAAAAAGAGCAGGTCGCCTTTCCATTCCTTCGGGGAGGAGGTGCTCTGACGGACAGCAAGCTTCGGGGAGTCTGTGAAGACAGGATGGTTGCCAGCAATGGACGACATTCGCACCAGGGGGAACGACTGCCTGGTCACCGAGCTCCTGGTCAGCTGGAGAGGTTTGTACATGGATGACGGACGTAGCGACTTGTCAAACCAGCTGGAGGAAGCAAACCTCCTGCCCATCAGCGCAGGAGTCATCTGGAACGCCCAGGAGGACTGAAATAGGAGTTAGTGCTGTCCGATCAACAACTCCATGGAGCATCATGATCAACTTGGAACATTTAGCATTAGAATGTTCCGATCTTTCACCAGTTCTCTCAACTGATTACCCCGCTCAAACCGTCTCTTCTTCACAGAATGAGTTTGAGAACACCTTGTCTATCACATCAACTCTCGTTTTCTGTCCATTGTGCTGTGGTGTGCATGGTGTGGTGTAATGTGATGTGATGAGATGAAATGTGATGTGATGTGATGAGATGAAATATGATGTGATGAGATGAAATATGATGTGATGCGATGCGATGCGATGCGATGCGATGCGATGCGATGCGATGCGATGCGATGCGACGTCTTTATCGTCTTCATCTTCTCACCTGCGCCATGGCGACAACAAGCAGCCCCTGCGCGCGCATTCCTTTATATGTTTAAGAGGCTCGCAACCTGATTGACCTTGTTTGAGTGCCGGGTACCATCACACAGGGCGGCCCCGGCGGCAGCCGGGCGGCCCGGCCCGGCCGTCCGATCAGAGCCGCCCGGCCCGGCGGGCCGAGGGCCCCGGCCCGTGACGGCCTCGCCGCATGCCACTGGGCCAGGCTCAGCTGGGCCAGGCTCAGCAGTACTGATTTCAAGTCCGAGTCATTTTAACTTCAACTTGAGAGGCTGAGTCAACCGCGCGACGCCGGGCGAACTTTCAGGGCCCGGCTCTTCAAAATCCTAAGCCGGGTCCGATCGGAGACTCTGCCAGAGTCTCCCCGCGCAGCCTTACCCGTATCGTACGGTCTGTCACGCCGTCGTACTGACTAGTAGTAGCCCGGCGAGTCCCGCCGATCTGGCCCACGGTCCGCCGAGTCTCTGCCACCGCGGCGCCGCGCGGCCGGGCCGCCTCGGCCGGGCGGTGCCGCCCGCGGCCCGGCCGGCACGCCGGTGACCCGGTACTACCGTACGGTCGGCCGACCGCCGTTGCAGTACTAAAGTAGGGTGGTCACCGCAGTCAAAAGTCACGTTCTCGGCACGCTGCCCCGACTCTCATCAGTCACGGTGATTCGGGTTTCACCGATAGCTGTAAGCCTGCCCGAATCCTCAGGCTAACCGAAAGATGATCTAATTACTAGTTACTGTGGCCCGTGCCGGCTGCAGGGGGCCGGAAGGAGGCACGAAGAGGCAGCAGTTGCGTCCGTTAGTTAAGACCTCGGGGATAAAGAACTCTACCTCATGACATGTAGGCCATGACAGTGATTCGGTCGGCCGGGCCGATCTTTAACCCTTCACGGGCCCACCTCGGCAAAGGTGACATGGACTGCAGTTGTACCCGGTGACCGGGTAGTTCTAGGCTACAAGCGAAGGCATTGAGGGGGTAGGGTGATGAGAGTCAGTACTGTAAAAGCGGCAAGGGATTCAGGCTGACCTCTTTGCTTTCAGAGGGTTACAAATCCCGTGACTCCTATGGCTACCCCTTCACCCCCCTTCCCCCCCTTGATCACCCCTACCCCCATCCAGTAGAAACCTTTCACGAGCAACTGAGGCAGGCAAGTCACGTCAAGCTTAAGGAGTTATAGCAGAGAGGAGAGGGGTATGCTCGATTTACTTTGAGGACAATTAGAAAATGCTCGACGTAGACCCCTGAAGGTTTCAAGATCTCGTTCTCTTTATATAGTTTGCATGAGGGTCCGAACGTACCGTTCGAAGTTGCGCTTGTCTCCGATAAACTACCCTACCCCACCATGAATTTAAAAAGTACCATTGACCCCCCAGGATTACCTGAAAAGAACCCCTGGGATGGAGTTTGAACCCCACCCTAAGATAGTTGCAGTGCGCATTCATTACTACACCTGTGCTGCCCAAATGGAAACACCCTCCTCCCTTCTTCAACTCCGCTCCGCTCTACACTGCTCTCTACTGCTCTCCTCCACCCTCCTATCCACTCCACACTCAAGCCTCAATCAACTCTCCGCTCTACACTCAGCTCCACTGCTTCGTCACTTGTTTTCTACACCGTTTGAAAGGATTGTCGTGACGACGATGACATCAAGAGTGTTCGTTAGTGCAAGGGCTAGGCGAGGAGCAAACAGAACAAACAGACCCTTCCTTCATGAACGATCGAGAGAGGTGGAGATCACAAGACAAGTCATCCTAGAACACATCCACATGAGGCAAGTCGATGCGGCCAGAGCGCTGGTAAGAATCCTCAAGCAATTCACAACTCCTTATCTTCCCTGCTTACCTTGCTGTCAGGGCATCTCTCTCACGAGCCTCAAGACCGCATGCCGCCGTTTAGGCTTCAGCCGATGGCCCTACTCCAGGCACAGGGCCCCAGACACCACCCTCCAACATGTACAAGAACATGAGCACGGCGATACAACGGACGAACGAGTTCAACAGGAAGTTAAGTGGGACAGTGAGAGTGACAGAGAAGAATACCTGTTGAGCCTGGAGGATCAAAGCGGGAGGGACATTGATATAGAGGCTTTTGGTGAGGAGGATCAAGTCAGGATCGAAGGGTGCGGAGAAATTGAAGGATCATGGCTGGAGTGGTATTTACGTAGCACGGACGAGGACGATGTGAGTAGGATGTGGAAGGAATTGGCTCAGTAAGGGGATTTGCTTGAAGTTGATCTATGATCTACAGATCACAGTTTTGATTCATGCCTGCATGGAGCGACGAATGTTTAACTTTGCTCACGGTGAAGCTAATGATACTCAGTAGTTCCCTGACTTGATCAATGGTGAATAATCTACCTTAAAGTCGCTGTCACATAGCATTAAAACATTGCCTTTACTTAAAAAGGGCCAAACTCCAAATACTTTTTGTCCTGGGATGTTTTTGTCACAACCCGAAGCTGTACGGGTTGCAGACGTCCACAGCGAAGGTTCAAGGCCCTCCGCTGGATCACACATATAGATGTAGTGTAGTGATGTCGAGTTTACTAGCGATGCTTGCTCAGCGTGGCATGCAACATGAGGAGAGAACAGACCCTTCTAGCTTGACAGGCTGATCCTTACATAGGCTAAGGGAAGTACTAGGGGTACTGGGGTAGACTATCCTGGGTTATCCAGGAGAAGTCAGTTTCGAACCCCAGTACGAGACAGCAAACTGTCCTTTCTTTTCAGTAAACCTTTGTCTGACTCGGGCTCGGTTCCTATGAGCTCTGACATGTCTGTCATGCTTATACAGAGTGCGAGGGGGTTTGTCAAGGAAACATCACAGTCCGTGACTAGGAACTTGATGTTGCATCCACGTGCACTGGGTTGCAGCAGCAGCAGACATGGCGATATCGCAACGGCATACAAGTCTGGCAGTTACAGGCAGACGAGGCTCCGATGATAACCTGGTGAGGGAACTGTTCCAATGAACTAGCAAAGCTGCGCTGGGGACGAGGAGGATGCAAGCCTGAAGCTAGATTCCTTTATGTACAGCAGACAATACAGACACTGCTACAGAGTACTGGAGTTGCGACCACTCTTCTGCCTCACACGTACAAGCGCACCTGATCTCCATCGAGACCAGTAGTACATGCCGTGTTAGTTGCTCGGAACTTGACTGCATCCACGTGCAGTCGCAGCAGTATATGCCAACATCAGAACTCTGACTCTCTCTCTAGCTCGCGCCCCCTCCGTCCGTCTGTCCGTCCGTCCCCCGAGACAAGGATCAGACAGTGAGGGGAACTTGTGCTTTCTGTTGGTATAACGACGACGTTGTCGTTGAAGACATTTTGATATCCAACGATCCTGATAGCAGAGGTCAACTCTGTTAGCGTCACAAGTTAGCTTTACGAGTCAAGAGTTTCAGTAAAACCTCAACGGATGTAGGGGCAGCGCATTGACCGTTGCAGCGCAGTCCGTCTATTAGGTTTTAAAACAGAGACCTCTGGTGGGTGTTGTAAAGTGTCGATGATGAGATGTGACAGGACGTGACGCCGCCGTGTCAAAATCGTGACTTGTAAGTCGAAACGTTTTGATTTAAGTTGACGACCCCAAAAAAATCCCCAAAAAAGAAAATTAGGACTACATCAGGAAGAAGACATCCATTTTTCTTCTTTCAGACCTCAAAAGACGCGATTTCTGAAAGGAGGTGCCCCGCTCGTAGCACGAGCGCAAGGGACAGCATCTGCCACATCAAACAGCGTCACGACGCTGCTAAACCTCCTCCTCCTCCTCCTCCTCCTCCTCCTCCTCCATCTACCTGGAAGATCCACTGACAGGAACAGCACAATGCAGGTGTGAGGGGCAAGACTCAGAATCTCACACATGTCTACCATTGTGCTTGTTGGGGCGAGACCGCGGCGAGGAAGCAACGGGCTGCATGAGCATCAGACAACGCAGGAGGTCGAAATCACAGGTCCAGTCATTCAAAACCTCTTCCATATGAGGCAAGCTGACGCTGCAAGGATCCTGGTGAGTCACTGTTCTGGTTCTAGATCATTCGCTCACGCCATTCTTCAGGGCATCTCTCTCTCGAGCTTGAAGTCCGCGTGCCGTCGCCTGGGCTTCCCCCGATGGCCGTACTCGAGGCATAGACCCACCGCCACTCATATCGACGACAAGACAGACGAGGAGGCCTCAGGTTCGACTTCTGCCGCAGGATGTAGCCCAGCATCAGCCCCTGGATGTGCCAACTCCCTTCAAACCCTCCTACCTGAATTCCCCCGAATCACCTACTCCCCAGACAGAGTCAGAGACAGAGAAGAGGTGGCAATGACGACGCCCTGCCTGCACGAGGCTGCTGGCGGCGACTGGGAGGGCGAGCGAGGCATAGACACGTCATGGCTGGAGAGGTACATGCAGAGTACGGACGAGGACGAGGTGTGAGGAGGGAGGAGAGGAGAGAGCGAGGAGGGAGCGAGGAGCGGAGAGGATCTAACGCATTAAAGAAGCATGGCGACGAGGGTTGTGAGGGGAGGGTGCGGAGGGCTGATCATCAGTGCTACTGGAGGTCTGCTAGAGGATAAATCTTGCTCTAGAAGATGTTTCACCACAACGCATGCTCGTAGAACCTTAAAGAAAGCACAAGAGGCAAGTGCGAGCGATGCCTCTAGATGGTGAGCAGGATTACCAAACAAATCCGAAAAGCGTCATGGAGAGGACAGGGGAAAACGCGTGCAAGGTGATTGGGACACGCTAGAAGTAGCTCGATTCACAGCTTCTCACGCAATAGTCCGTGTTCTCCTCCTCCGCTGCCCACATCCTCGACTTCTTGGCTAAACTTGCTTCCAACAGACAACGCTACAGGGCCCTCACTGACCACTTCGATTTGCCGCTTCCGTCGAGGATCACCATGCACTCCTATCAGCCGCTGAGCGGCGATGTTACCGTCACAGTCCGCGCGCGCGCGGATGAGACCCGGCGGGCCGGACGTACTGGAAGTTCGCCGGACAGGCGATTCACTCAAGTCTGAGACTTGTGGAGACTCTACCATGGTGGCACGTTGAGTAAAGCCGCGAGGAGGTGTAAACCAATCTCGAGATCGATCTTCGTATCTTAAAAGGGTTGTTGGATATCACTCCTTTTCGAGTTGCAGCCTCAATCCATATCCGTTTCCGACCAGTCGCTCTCGCACCTCCCTGGCTCCAACACGAGTCGATGCCCCTCCCCGTCACTCCCCGTCCCCCCTGCTCTCCCTCCCCCCACATCTCCTCGTCCCTACGTGTCTGCTCCCCGCCCCTTTGCTCAGATAGCCATCTCTCTTCCCTTTTCCCCTCCTGCACTGATCGCTCCCTCAAGCTCATCAATGTCCTCTTCCGTCCTCATCGGCGCGAGACCTCGGGATGGTATGGCCCATCACACACGCAGCAGCGAGGAGAGGGAAGTAGAGGTCACCAGGCAAGTCATCTTGGACCTCTTCCACATGAGGCAAGCCGACGCTGCCACCTCCCTGGTATGTATCTCATGCCCTCCTTCATCTCCCTTCCTCCCCCCCCTTGTCTCGATCCCTCCTGCCTGGCTTGCCGTGTCAATGAGACATGCGCTGATTGCGTTTCGCTCCTCAGAGCATCTCTCTCTCGAGCTTGAAGTCCGCGTGCCGTCGCCTGGGCTTCCCCCGATGGCCGTACTCGAGGCATAGACCCACCGCCACTCATCTCGACGACAAGACCGACGAGGAGGCCTCAGGGTCAGCGTCAGGGTCGGGCTCATCAGCCCCTGGTGCTGCTACTACTGCTACTGCAGCAGCAGCATGTGCATGCGCATCTCTTGCTGACTCGTCATCTCCTACTGCTGCTTGTGCCTCTGCCAATCTCACTACACCTTACTCTGATACTGCTGCCGCCGCTTCAGCTGTTTGTTCGAGGTCTGCTCCAGATGCCTGCAGGTATGCGGCAACCAGCTTCAGCTGCTTGGAAGAGGACGAGGAGGGAAGCGAGATGACAGCGACGACGCCCTGCCTGCACGAGGCTGCTGGCGGCGACTGGGAGGGCGAGCGAGGCATAGACACGTCATGGCTGGAGAGGTACATGCAGAGTACGGACGAGGACGAGGTGTGAGGAGGGAGGAGAGGAGAGAGCGAGGAGGGAGCGAGGAGCGGAGAGGATCTAACGCATTAAAGGAGCATGGCGACGAGGGTTGTGAGGGGAGGGTGCGGAGGGCCGATCATCAGTGCTACTGGAGGTCTGCTGGAGGATGTTTGCACGACGTTAGCTCGCCGATCGATTCGCGAACTTGGAGCGTATCGGGCTGTACTTTCAGCCGTCGTGGGCCATTCTAAAAACCAACCTAAAGAGACGTTCTCGCAAGGTTATGGTACATGTAGCAGATGTGCGGATCGTATGCTAGCCCATTGCTCCGAAGCAGCCAAGATACTCTTATGACCAAGAGAAGCCGATGTTTGTTGATAACCCTCGCCATCAGCATAGCCGTGCTTGGCCAGCCAGTGTCGCTAGTTTTCTCTCTGTCCATAAGTCTCCATGTTCATGATAGAATGATGGCAGAACGCGACGGTCGAGCATGCACGAAGGCGTCAAGGCCAGTCTCAACTCCAGCCACTACGATACTTCTCCTCCACGTCAGCACTTCAGTCTGCTGCAGCTCGGACCGCCCGGCCGGGGTCCCTCCGTCCTTGACCAGGGTCATTTGTAGCTTCAACTCCTTCACGAGCTGTCAGACTGGTCCAAGCAAGGGGAAGTGCAATCACCCATTCGAAGCTCCCAACACTTGATCTCAGCGTCGGGGCAGCGGAGACTGGAAGAGTGAGGAGCTGTTGGAGGGTAATCATCAAGGGAGGACGAGCATGGCAGGGAGGAGGGAGGGACAGGAGAAGCATCGTTCGTGCTGTCTCACCATGTTGGTGTGCAGTCGGTTCTCAGTGCAAACCGTCCTGGAGATATGCTGTGTGCATTGTGCGTTCTGTTGAGGTCGATTAAAACCTCAATGCAATCACAGATATGCAGGCGGCAACCGGATCGTTGTCCGAGTCTGCCGGGTATGTAGCGTAAGGCTTGTTGATGGTTTCTTGGCTCTCAATCGTCACCGTTATCCTCTCACACTTGACAGCAGCCTGCAGTGCAGCAGGTTAAAGTCACGAAGTCTGACGAGAGCGGCAACCCTTGTTACCTCGCTGAAGTCGAAACAGATCGCGATGTTTTCCCCGCAGTGGAACTCACCATCGGGCATTTCGAAGTACATCACCAGCCTGTTCTCGAACATGATTTTGAACGAGGACATGTCAATGGGTGCCGAGGAAGGAACACTATCGTAGACTGCAAGCTCCGCCGGCTTCTCTAGTGATGACAAGATCTTCTCTCCTATTGAATTCCTCGCCTTGCCAAGGAGTCAGCCCACCCCACTCCCAGCAGACTCCCACCCCACTCCCAGCTTTTACCCGTTCCAGGGCCTGAGCTCTTGCTAAGAACTCATGGTACAGGCTTCCCTCTAGCCCGAAGATCTGGATGACGTGTACTTGCTAGCTCCACTCCGTCAGCCGATGTCTGCTGGGGCAGTGCTGGAGTACCTGGGGCGCATACCGCGACACTACCCGGAGGGGCAGAGTGAGCACTCGCGGCTGAGGCACGATGTTTCCTATCCCTTCCAGCTGTATCTCCACCACAACCCCGTAGGTGAACGAGAAGCATTTCCCTGCGATGATCCCCGTGCGTCAGGTCCGAGACAAGAGACAACTGGGGACCGTGTCGGCACCTTTGAACGTCGGAGGGAGGAGAGGAGGGAGTGTGAACTCATAAAGGTACGAGCGCTTCTCGCCTTCATAGATGACGGCATCTGAGCAAACTGATAGCGAACACTTGTTCAACACACATCCCCACGAGTAAGTTCAGAAATCACCGAGCGTCTGCTGACTTTCAAAAATCTGTTCCAAGGAACCCGAGTCGTATTCGCCAGGAAACTTAGTATGAAGGTAGCTGGACAAAGGAGAAGATCTTGCGATCCTAGAGCTCTTGTCCAACTTCCCATACCTCGGGTTCAACCGGATCCATCCAACAGCGCTGCATGAAACTCCAGGGTCAGTCCTTCAAGGTCGGGCCACCAAGGTTCACCTAGCCGCGCAATGTAGCACAGTGACGGACTTCTCGTGGTTCGGAACTCTCTTCTCCGGACATGGCCAGCAGATGCTGATCACCGCCCGAACACAACTACGAAGAACAAGGCGCGCATCAGCGAACCGGGGCCTGACCACCCAATGAAGCCGCTGTCGCTCCGGATCCGCCATGCTGAGCTCGCCCTTCCCAGTCCTCGACCAATCCGAGGCCTCATTCTAAACCTCCTCCCCTTACAATAAGCTATGACTGACCTCCCACCTCCTTCTCCTCTCTGCTTTACCTGCCTGGCGCCGCCATGGCGTCCACCGCCTCCAGCGTACACTCCATTGTGAAGCTGGACCAGGCAGTTTGATTTTTAGTGCTGAATGATGGCAGACCATGGTCGGAAATACCATGAGGCAGGCCCGCGGGCTATCAGTGATCGGACCGGCCGTACGGTACGCGGCCCGGCCAGTGCCACCCGCCAGGTCGCAGGGCCCGCCCGGCTCCAGCAAGAGTACCGTACCGGTCACTGGCAGTGGAGTATCTGGTCTAGAGGAGGGGTAATGATATATAATGGAGGGAGGCTTGACGTTGACGGTCAGTCATCCTCCCTTCTTTACTCAAAGTTAAGTTAAAAATCAGTACGAGGACAATAATAGAGTCGACCGGTCCTACACCGTGAAACTTTCGACCACCCCCACCACAGGGTCTGCGATCCCTGGCCACCACCCACCTCATGGGGGGAAGGTACAGGCGGCCAGAGGCAAGGAGGGGTAAAGATTGGAGTAAATAGACAGGTAGGGGTGGATACCCATTCGACTCCGGCGATAATCAGGCCGCTGCGTGGCAATCGGAGGGGTGGAACCAATCTCAAGTTTTGAATTGAGACCACCCGTCTATATTACTGATTTAGTCCTCTAAAAGAGAGGGTGGGTACAGCATTCCTGATGATACCCGCCACCGACGTCCGAGAGCCTGGACCTGGGCAGTTCCGAACCGACTCCGGCCGGAGAGGGGGTGGGGGTTGAATCTGCTTTGACGAAGTGGTGGTGGGGTGGTGTTCTATACCCTGAAATGGTAGGGTGGTAAGTCTGAATGCATATGGTGGTAGAGTTGGAGATGCTTAGCAGGAATGGTGTTGAATCAATTTGAGGGTCATCTGAGGTCAAATGAGGGTGGGTAGTCGTACGTTTTCAGGGTGGCGGGATTTGGATGGCACGATAGGTTTCTTGGGCTTGCCATGGCTGTTCTGATCGAGGGAGGAGAAAGAATGTGCATACAGCAGAGAGATGCTGATGTAGCATTGCACAAAGAAGTGCTTTAGGGTATACAAAAGATGCGCCGATGTATGATGGCTTCTGTCGGAGCACCAAAATCTTTTCACTCACGAAACAACCTGGATGTGTAACGCACGTCATCACAGGCGGTCGATTCCGCTCTAACTCACATTTCTGCAGAAACCAGCAGCGCTCTAAGATCCCATGAACTTTCATAATGGTTATTTTCATCCGACCAGCTTTGGAAGTAACCAGGTTCATTGTCGTCATTTTTTCTTCCGTTGAGTGACTGAATTTTACAATTCAGCATGAAATGAACATGAACAGCTTTTATCTTTCCTCAACAGCAAGCCCTGCCTATCCCTCATATGTCAACATATCCTTGCGTCCGCCAATTCATTCACACCCGCACGAATTTCACATTCATAACTCCGCAAAGGAGGTACAGAGCGAAGCATCGCCTTTTGAAACGTACTTACAAGCTGTGCAGAATCTTTTCAACTACCCTGGCCATGAAAACAGATATTTCCATTTCATTCTGTAAGCCCTCATATGCATCTCTAAAGTTGTCACTGAAGCTCTGTCTTTTCTGCAGGAATCGTCAACCACACACGATGAATTTACAACACCCTTCGTTTCATGCACACTCGAACCCCACATTCTTTCTGAATCAAGGAGTCCCAAGGTAGGGTTGATTGGACTGCACAATTCAACTCCTTTCGATGTATTTCAATGATTGAGCATGGTTACAGCTTTCATTCACACAGGGATACATCATTCATTGTGAGAGTATCATCGTGAATTGAACTCGTGAGCTCACTTGTTGCTGTGGCAGAAATACTCTGCGAGACGATCAAAGAATGTGACCGCACCTTTGAGTAATCTTTGCCAAACTTTCTCTGCTCTTGTCAGACCTGATGATTGATCCTCGTCCAGTGGTTCCAACAGCGGAGCAACACTCTTCGCCGCAATCAAACTCATTCTGTGCTCTGTGCGGTCAAACGGTTGGTACCCTTGAAGTCACGACAGAATGCGGTCACTACGCTCACTCCAGGCACTCTCCTTGGTTACTTGTATTAGCCGTTGATTGCATGGTTTCAGTTGTTGGCAGCAGCATATGGCAAAGCATGCCGATCTGCACAAGAAGACCATCACTTGTCCGGTTTGCAGCACCAACTTAAATCTCAGACAACTCGAGCATGCTCATGCAAGTCCTCATATGAAAAGCTCTCATTTGAATTCTATCTCATCTTTGGACGATCATTTGGATGATGGTCTTTATCCCAAGTGCTACCAGATCACTGATGGGAAAAGTCACAGCAATTTTGATGAAGGTAGTATCACGCCGATTTTCTCAGCGTTGATGTAATTTTCGATTCAGATGAAATCGACTCTTCTGTCGATACCTCAACCAGCTCATGCCCAGAGGAGCAATCCTTTCTGACGTGAGCTTTCCATGAATCAAGCTCGTATTTGATTTGAACGCTTCAGCTCATCTTACATTGCAAGCCCGAATCTCAAGAGTGACGGAATTTGTGCTGAGGTATGCTCTTCTTGCACCCTTTGCTATGGGTTTGTGATTTCCTGCAGGTTGGTTTCCTTGACAACTCAATTTTCACGCCATACAAGCAAAAACGCTTCATTGAGATAAAGAGTCCACCCTCTGCTCGTTCACAGGAAGGTAGGAAGTTGATTATCACCTGGAAGACGTTTTTGATTTTGTCTCCAAGGTATTTACCGACGAGTACTGCATGCTCGCAATTGTCAGCAGAGTATAAGATTTTCTACGGATGGTACAAAGCAAGAGGTGTTCATTTAGAATTCAAGAAGATGCAGTCAGGCATTAACTGACTGTTGAATCAGTTCCATGATACATGTCGAGGTGAACAAAACCTCACAAATGTTCATGGCAAATTCAGAGTTGCTGGCAGTGATGAAAACAATAATCCTTCAGCAATCTTGTTCATGTGAAAGAATGAATAGGTATTGTTTGTACAAAAATAAAGCTGTTACGCAGCTCTTGCTTTCCTGGTTAATGATCTCAGTTTGATAATGATTTCCTGAATCAGTGACACAATCGGAACGTGACGCCAAACATGAAACTTTGGATAGCATATGATCACAAAGATTCATTATCAACAAGGAGACATGTTTGGCTGTGTGGAGGCTGTCCATCGGTAGCGCTCATTGGCCATGCAAAGCTTTCTCCTTCTCTTCCTGAGCAATCATGGCCCTCGATTTGATCGGGATCAGCTTCGGCTTGCAGAGTATCTCAGTCAGGGTCCCTTTCTCGCTGTACACCAGCCCAGCCTGCAGTCGAGCAGGAGATGAGCTCAGAGTGACTTGGAGCAGAGAGCAGAGAGCAGGGGGCAGGGGGAGGGGGCAGGGGGCAGGGAGCCTTACCTTCGACAGGACTTCCCTCGGAGCCGACTCCAAGTCGCTAGTTCCCTTCATTGGCTGGGTGCCCAAACGACGTCCTGCCAGGCTCTCAGTCATGCTGCTGTGACATGGGACAGAGGAGGGCTCTCAACCATTCGACCTAGTTGCGCACTGTAACTTCACCCAAAACGATCAACTAGAGCCCGTTGCACTCTGAAGTGCTTCCGTGACGTCAACACGGCTTCTACATGAGCACCCGGCTCGCTTCAAGCTCGCACTGATCTCAGAACTCAGAAGCCTCTTCTGAAATCATCGTCCCTCGATACCTCCCCTCTCCTCCCTCTCCATTCTCCTCCCCACCCCGCAAGTATCCCCTCATCCGTTAAAGAGTAACGGTCCTCAACATCAAAGAGGGCCCATCGGGGGGAGGGGAAGGGGAGGGGAAGGGGAGGATAGGGGCGCGTGCAGGAGTTCACCTAGCCACATCTCACAAAGACTTAGCAGGCAATGTTTATCTTCCCCACCATCACTATTCCTGTTCTAGCAACTCCCCCTTCCCTCCCACCTATCCCCGATGCTTCGAGGATCTCGAAGACTCAACTGATATCAACCCTTCGCCACTTTTACCCTAGCTTGACATTGCGGCATCAGTTAGGATCATGTGCACCAGAAGAATTTGATATCATCATCCGCATGCGCATGCCTCTAAATGAGAAGGCCGAACGAGGATTTTCTCGTTCATGATGAACAAGATGACGATTGTGACCACGAATGCTCAGAAGAGGTATCTATCCTTGGTGTCAACCATTGCTGTCAGATTCATTCGTTTCCATTACTTCATCACATCCAGGTCTTTGTGTGATTCTGTGCTACAAGCATGCTGTGTTTGCCATTGATCCGATGTCATCTCTGTTCCCGACGGAAACATCTGATGACTTACTTTTACCATGTCTCATGTCTTCCATCCCCCCCCTTCTTCCTTCGTCTCCTCTGATCGCCCAATCATGAATCTCCTGACCTCATCCTGCATGGATGCTGGCATCCATGTGCCGATTTTCTCCTCTCTCCCATGGATCCGGTTTACATGACTACCCCTCACCCCCATTTTGACCACCAAAGTACCCCTGATAGCTATTGGTTCCATGGCACTTTGGAGGAATTGTTGAGGCGGACCGTCATCAATCACCGATAACGGATGATACGGTTATCGATACCCCCGTTCTCAACCGCCCAGCTAGGTTGACCGCTGGAGATGCGGGCTAGCCCAAGGGATGCACAAGGAGGGAGAGGCGGGAGAGGCGGGAGAGGCAGATAGGACGGGCACAAGAGTGCAGGAGAGCCTCAGTAGAGAGAGGAAGATCAGATATCTCCAGACACGTGCTCGCCGTAGACGCGCGGCGAGCGAAGAGACTGAGAGTTCAAGTGGTTAGTGAACGGCTGCGAGGCACACCAAGATAGGCAGATGGAGGCAGGAGAGAGCGAGAGGGAGAAAGACTGCCGCCAGAGCCATGGATCATGCTAGATCCTTGCTGATTGCACTTGACGCAATGCTTTCAATGCTTTCTGAACATGACTGCGGCAGGTTCGAAATGTAAGTTGGTGAGAGACGAAGCTCAACTTGCTTGAGCCATGGAGATAGACTTTCACTATGAGGATATAAGCTCGCCAGACAGCAAAGCTGACACTCGCCCGGGAACGTCCACGGGAAAGATATTGAAGGCTTCAGAGCACGAAGCATACTGGACCGAAGATGCCAAAGTCAATCATCGTCCTCAAGTTCTGCAATGCTCGGATGAAGAAGAGCAACTAGAAGTGCAGGAGCTGGAGACTGACATGCCGTCCTCTTCAGGGTGGAAAGTGGTCGAGTACACGGATAAGAGCGAGAAAGCTCGAGACCGTCGTGAAGATCAGGGTCAGCCAGTGAGCGATGGTGACTTGGCCTTGCTGTCTGATTTGAGGAGCCTCATCGACGAAGCTGTCTTGCTGGTTGAGCACGCGGCCGATGGCGTTTATGAAGACCTGGTGATGACGCTCGAGCAGAGCAGCAGCCCTATCGGTCGTGCTATCCGAAACGAGTTGAGCAAGAGGACGGGAAGCGCGGATGTGAAGTCTCTGGCAGTGACCAGCTCTCAGGAAAATGGTGTCGATGCAGCACTTGAAAGGCTGGTAAAGGAGGGGAGCGAGCTGCTGGAGAAGATGCCGGAGGAGCTGGTGGAGACGCTCGGGGAGGCGCTTAGGAGCAGCAGCCCGGTGGCGCAGATGCTTCGAGACCAGCTGGAGGGGGGCAGGGAGGAAAGGGAGGAAGAGGAGGAGGGCGGGAGAGGGCTTGAGAGAGAGCCGGGAGACAGGGAGGGAGGCGGTGGAGTAGGAGAGGGAAGGGCAGATGAGAAGGCCGAGGAGGCACTGAAAGAGACAGGAGCAGCGGGCAGCAGCGGGCAGGAGCAGCACGGGACTAGTACCGAATCGACGGAGGAGACGAAAGAGGACAGCGGAGAGATCGATGCGGAGGTGGAGACGGAGGGGAGAACACATACGGAGGTCAATGGAGAGGAGGGAGGCAGCGGGTCAGGGGAGGAGTCGCTGGTGGGGAGGCTGGTAAAGGAGGGGAGCGAGCTGCTGGAGAAGATGCCGGAGGAGCTGGTGGAGACGCTCGGGGAGGCGCTTAGGAGCAGCAGCCCGGTGGCGCAGATGCTTCGAGACCAGCTGGAGGGGGGCAGGGAGGAAAGGGAGGAAGAGGAGGAAGAGGAGGAGGAGGGCGGGGGAGGGCTTGAGGGAGAGCCGGGAGACAGGGAGGGAGTCGGTGGAGTAGGAGAAGGACGGGGAGGGACAGAGGGCAGGGAGGGCGATTTGGGGGCGGAGGAGGACAGGAAGGCAAGCGAGAAGGCCGAGGAAGCCGAAAGGGAGACAGGAGCAGCGGGCAGCAGCGGGCAGGAGCAGCACGGGGCTAGTGCTGACATGGAGGAAGTTGGAAGCTTGGGGGTGGAGGGAGGGGACCATGTGGAGGAGACAATAATGTCAGGGGAGGAGGAAGCCGGTGGTAGTGCTGGTTTACCGCACTCTGCTCAGGAGGAGCTTGTCGGAGCAGAGGTTGCAACTGACATGGAGGAGGGAGTGCATGGAGGGAAGGAAGAAGACTGCCGGGCAAGGGGATCTTTGCAGCAGGTTGAGAGGGATAGGGAGGAGAAGGACAATGTTGGGAAGATACTGGGAGAAGAGCAGGAGGTGAAGTTGGAGGTGAAGCAGGTGGAAGGGAAGAAAGTAGAGGAGGAGAACCTGCGAGCAGAGGTCGGCCAGTATGATGTCGGCTCTGATGGAGGGGACGGGAAGCAAGCTGCGAGCAAGGAGGAAGGGCAGGAGGATGGGAAGGGGCTGCTCAAGATCAGGATCCCTTCACTGCCAGAGACGAAGACGAGGAGAAAGGGGAAGACGGCAGATCTTGAGTTCGAAGGAGGTTGGTTGTGCTCTTGGGGAGCTTCTGAGGTTTGACATGGACTTGTTTGCAGCTACCAGTGAAGGGAGTACAGAGGGTGGGAGGGGAGGAGCAAAGTTGGTTGACAGCCCTCCTAGGAACTCACCTCCAGGTCGTTGATGAGTTCGTGCTTGCTTGTTCGGTTGCACTGTTGGTCACATGGCGATGGGATTTGTCTTGACAAATTCTCTCTGCCTCCTCCTCCTTCTGTTCCCTCACTCCCTGTCCCCCCCTCCTCCCTGTTCCTCCTCTTTTCCTCCTCCTCTTTTCCTCCTTCCTTCCTCCTCCATTCTTCTCCCCCTCTATTTGCTCCCTATCCCCCCCTTCTCTCCTTCCCTCTTCTCCGTCTACTTCATCTCTCTGCCTTCCATGCTCTCGGATCACCTCAACTCGCTCCTCATGGCTGATTTCATTCTTTCAGTTCGATCGCCATCCGTCAGACTCTCCCTTCCAGTCTCCTCCCCTCCTCCTCAAGGTTGACCATCTGCTGGCAACTAAGCTCCCCTCTTCTCTGTTCCTGCTCCACCTCCTCTTCCTCCTCTTCCTCCTCCTCCTACTACTGCTCCTCTTCCTCTCTGTCTCTGTCTCTGTCTCCTTTCGCTGCTGGCTTCCTTGTCCCTCTTGCGCCTTGCTTGACTTGCCTTGCCCCCCTACCACTCTGTTCCGATGACCTTCTCCTTCACTCTCCCTCCCTCCTCTCTCCCTCCCCGCCCTCCCCTCCCTCTCCCCACCTCCCTCCCTCGTCCTCTCCATCCTTCTGTTCATCTTCCTTAATCTTTCAACCAGCTTCTCGCTCTCCGCATCCCAATCGTTACAGGATGCTGGCAGGTTTGGACCTCCCTTCATCTACCCTTTCCTCATACATATCCTTCTTCTCTGTTCTCGTCCTTCTACGTTCTCCCTCCCTTACTCTCCTCCCTCCCAACTTCTCTCCGCCTCCTCTAACACGTTCAACAGCCAGCAAATCAACCTCTATCCTCCTCCATGACAGTCCCTACTGCTCGCCTCCTCCTCCTTCTCGCACATCTCCCCATCTTCATCCTCCTCTCCGCCCCAAGAGCACTTCCGATCTCCTCCCGAAGTTCGCTCGCAGCAGGCGTCTCCCTCCTCCAGCTCGCAGCCGCATGTCCCTTCCCCTTCATCTTGCACATGAGAGCATAGCGCCATGGCAAACGCGTGAAGGCGCCAGGAGCTCGTCGAGCCGGAGGAGGAAGAGAACAGAGGAGGAGCGCAGAGACGAGAAGCAGGGATCTGTAACGAGGGAGGAGGAAGAGGAGGAGATTTTCGACCTTCTGCGTTGTTCGAGCATCTTTGCTCCCCTCCTTTTCGAATCTCTCCCTGTGGGCAAGAGCGTCGTCCCCTCCAGCATGCTAAGCGCGGCTCGAAGAGGGTGAGAAGAGGGAGGAGGGGAGCGGATGGAGGACAATCATAAGGAGGAGGAGGAGGAGGACAATCATAAGGAGGAGGAGGAGGAGAATCATAAGGAGGAGGAGGAGGAGGAGGAGGAGGAGAGGGTGGTGGTGGTGGTGGTGGTGCCGGACTTACTCACTTTTCTCATTTCTCAGCTCTGTGGAGGTAGAGGTCGCTCATCAGGACAGGAAGAGCTTTCCGATTCTTACCAACAAGGTGCGAAGTTGGAGTAGGAGTGAGGACGAGGAATATGAGCATGAGGAAGAGCAGGAGAAGCAAGCTATGGAGCAGTGAACGAAGAGCAAGGGGAGGAGGGGCAGGAGGGGCAGGAGCAGGAGCAGGAGCAGGAGCAGGGGCAGGGGCAGGGGCAGGGGCAGGGGCAGGGGCAGGAGCAGGAGCAGGTTAATTTGGGGTGTAGGTCAACACTTCCATCTCATGCTCGTGGAACTGGAGGGACGAGGAGCCAGCAGGGCTTGAGCTGACCATCGAAACTATCAAGGCAAGAGACATCCTTGTCCGTCCTCCGTCCTCCCACCTCCCACCTCCCTCCTCCCTCCTCTAATTCTTCACTTCTCTGCTCCTTCCTGACTCTCTCATCTCCCCTCCTTGCTGCAATTCTTATCTTTTCCTTTCTGAGACGTTCTGAAATCAGAGTCTTCCCGTGCTTGACCGCTTCGGCCTGGCAAACTTGAAGGCAAGTCGGGGAGGAGGGGAGAGGAGAGCGAGCAAGCGAAAGAGGCCGAGAGGGAGCAAGTGAAGGAAGAGGAGAGGGAGCAAGTGGAATAGGAGGAGGAGGAGCAAGTGAAACAGCAGGACGAGGAGCACGTGGAGGTGGAGAGGGAGCAGGAGCGAGACGGGGAGTGCGCGGGAGTTGAGGGGAGCAAGTGAATGATCGGAGGAACAGGTCATGGCAGAGATTGGGAAGAGCGTCAGAACCTCCCGGGCTTACAGGCTGATGTATGATCCTGCCCCTGCCCCTGCCCCTGCCCCTGCCCCTGCCCCTGCCCCTCCTGCTCTCGCTCCCGCTTCCGCACCTCTTGTTTTCGGGCGTTGACCTGGCATAGGGACGAGGCTGATCTCAGCATGGGCGAAACCTTCTGGCTGCCTTGCGACCAGCTAGCAGGAGGAGAAATCCCGTCGCTGACTATGGTGAGAGGGATGGAATATACCTGCTGCTGCTGCTGCTGCTGCTGCTGCTTCTCCTCCTCCTCCTCCTCCTCCTCCTCCTCTCCTCCTCCTTTTCTCCTCTCCTCCTCTCCTCCTCTCCTCCTCTCCTCCTGTTCGGTCATCCTCGCTGGCAAGAGATCTGAGGTCTCGTCGCAGAGTTTGCTGCTCGTCGACTCGGAGGTGCTTGTCCGTGAGGTAGCCCGGGCATGCCGCATCTCGACGATGAGGGAAGGAGAGGTAAGGAAGAGGAAGAGGGAGAGGAGGGTGGAGGAGAGAAGGGAGAGGGAGAGGAGGGACGAGGAAGGTGGGAAAGGTGTAAGGAGGAGGGAGAGATGGCAACGAAGCAAGGAACGGGAGTGAGGCGGGAGGAGAATGGAGAAAGGGGAAGGGAGGAGTTGGAATTGGACGAGGGAAATGGGAGAGGAGGAGGGGAAGGGGGGAGAGAGTCTGGTTGTTTCCTCTCGTTGAGATATTCAGCTCTCATCAGCGATGTAGATGATGAAAATCGGAGGGAATAGTCCTGATGCTCCTAAAGGGATGAAGAAAGTAATTCATATCTGTAGTCTCTCCTCTTCCTCTTCCTCTTGCTCTTGCTCTTCCTCGTCCTCGTCCTCTTCTTCCTCCTCCCCCTCCTCCTCCTCCTCCTCCTCCTCCTCCTCCTCTCCCCCCCCCCCCCTCCAGAACTCTTTCCTCTTGCTGCTTCTCAATCGATTGTCTTTCAGTCTTTTGTCGTCTCCTCTGAAGCTGCCGTCCTCCTCGGCCAATTCGCTTCTGGAAGTCCCACGAAGATGCTCAAGGATCTGAAGAAAAAAGACAAGGTCCTGCTCTTCTTCTTCCTCCTCGACCTTCTTCTCCTGTTGCCTCTCCTTCCCCTCCTCCTCTATCTCAATCTTCAATTCTTCACTCCAATTTAGCAGTCCTTCAATCCCATCCTTTCACATATTCTTTCTTGGCTTTCGATTGTCATCCTCCTTGTCTGCTCTCCATTTTCTCCCTCTTGCATTCTTCGTTCCCTCTGCAAAATCTGCTACCTCTCTCCTCTCGTCATAACGTTTCTGATCGCAGTCAAAGTTGTTCAAGGAGTTGCTTCTCAACAGAGGAACTTCGATCGGTCACTCCTCGCTCGACTCCCTCCTCTTCTTCTTCCCGCTCCCTCATCACTCTTCTCCTCTTCCTCCTCCACACTTCGCCCCTCCCCTTCTTCTACCTCTCTCTTCTCCTCACTTGACCCGCAGGCGCCCCCTCCCTCCTCCTTCCCAGCTCCTTCCCAGCTCCTCCACAGATCCTCATTGCTGTCAAACCCTTCCAGCTCGTTCACGTTCCTCGAGCTGCGATTCTCAGCTCGATTCGAGCTCGACCCCAGATAGCCCAGCACCTGGCCCAGCACCTGGCGTATCCCCCCACTTCCCATTTCATCCGCTGCTGACTGCGCAGCAGGAGGCTGGAGGAGGTTGACCTCTCTGCTGGAGGCGGAGGCGCAAACTCCCTCACCGTCCATGTCCATGTGTACTCAGCTCGGCAGCTCCCGGCTTGGGTCAAGCTGGGGTACAGCGAATGCGACCCCTGCTGCTTCGTACGGGTGGAGGATGCGGCGTTCAAGACAGGTGCGAGGGAGGAGGGTGGCGAGGAGCAGCAGGAGCAGCAGGAGAAAGAGGAGAAAGAGGCGCAGGAGAAGGAGGGGTGTCGGGTGTAGGAACGAGGAGAAGAAGGAAGTATGACAGCACTGGAAGAGAAGATCAGGGGTTGAGACAGGAGGGAGGGGATGGTAGACGAAAGGGAGAGAGGCAGGAATCTACTTATCACATTCTTCACTGACTTGTCTTGTTCTTTCAGCCTCTCAGCGTTTCAGCCGGCAATCGGGTGAAATGCCTTTCTGGGATGAGCGATTCGTGTTCGAGTCACTTCACAGCTCCTCCGGTGCCATCGAGTGAGAAAATTCTGCTCCCTTTCTTCTCCCGCTCCCACCTCCATCTCCTTCCTCCTCCAACTCCTCCCTCCTCCCTCTCCTTCCACCTACCTCCTCTCTCCTCTCCTCCTCCCTCCTCTCCTCCTCCTTCGTCCTTCGATCTTGCT